GTAGAGAAAGAAGATTTGGAGCAAGGTGCTGGCGATGTTTTCAGTGAACAAAGAGTAGTGACCACGTTTTTTTTACTTAAATGCAATTAGGAATGGTAAGAGATGGATGGTATAGGCAGGTGGCCTGATCCTCAAAGGAACGGGAGATTTTGTGAGAGGGTAGAGGAACTTTGGTCTCTGGAAAGTACACTGGGCCAGTAGGATCACAGAATCCATATCCTGACTCTGAGGTACATGGGATTGAGAGCATGATCTGCTTTCACTTCAGAATGTTACAAGGTAAGGTAGCTTCTTTAAAGAAAAAAGCATTTCATGAAGTGATTGAGGGTTTTGTTAACTAATATTTGGGAGTTAGAGGTAACATATAAAAGAGTTTGAGGGGTGCCTGGGTGGCTCAGTCGGTTAAGCGTCCGACTTCAGCTCAGGTCACGATCTCGCGGTCCATGAGTTCGAGCCCCGCGTCGGGCTCTGGGCTGATGGCTCAGAGCCTGGAGCCTGCTTCCGATTCTGTGTCTCCCTCTCTCTCTGCCCCTCCCCCGTTCATGCTCTGTCTCTCTCTGTCTCAAAAATAAAATAAACGTTAAAAAAAAAAAATAAAAAAAAAAAGAGTTTGAAAGGAGATTAAGTAGAGGAAAAGAAAGTATTTTAAAATGAGAACATAAAAGAGCATAGGTGATTAGCAAGGTGCATATTTTCAGAGATGACCAAGGAAAACAGGGATTTTAAGGCAACATAGAATTAGCTTGTCTTTAGGATTGCTAAGATAAGTTCCAGTGGCTCATTGTAACTGATGGTGGCCTTCACACAGTGGAGGGCAGGCTGCCAGTTATAGTGAGGGCTTTGACATTCTGTTTCCTCCAGAGCGTTCAGATGCTTCTGGTGGCAGATCTTATTTAATGGAGATTTATGGTCCTTCGTAAGAGATATAGTGGTTCCTCTCCAGGAGGTGAGGATCCACATGGTTCAGCAGTATGAGGTGAGGAAGCCTCTAATTTGGAGAGATCAGGATTGGTTAAATCAGAGATTTTTAAAAGGACTTAAAATATGCACATTAAACATTTTATTTCAAGTTCAATGTAATACATTTTTTTCTAACATGCATTGCTATACTGATCTTTTGAGTTAGGGCCAAAACCTTTTCTTTGAATATGGGTCCACTCATTGGAGTTTTTCCATCTTTCTGCATGTTTCATATATCATATCTATAATACATCATGTAGGATTTGCTTTTTTATTTCTTTACAGTGGAATGCAAGATCTTTCTGGGTTTTTACAGTTACTTTTCTTGCTTTTTAGACTTGTATTACCCATATATAACAACAGCTGTTCTTAATGACTTGCTTTCATTAAGTTTTGCCAAAGACTTAAACTTAGTTTTTATAAAAATAGCTGTGTTATTATATAGTCCCCTTGTATGTATAGGGAATACATTCCTGGACGCCCAGTGGATGCCTGAAACCGCAGATAGTGCCACATCTTATGTATACTGTGTTTTCTGCTATGCATACATACCTATGATAATGTTTAATTTATAAATCAGGTACCATAAGAGATCAACAACAACTAATAATAAAATAGAACAATTGTAACAATATGCTGTAATTAAAGTTACGTGAATAATAGTTAATAACTAGTGCAAATAGCATGGTGGATTTGTAAATTACGTAAGTAATTTACTTTCAGATACAATACCAAAGGCATGATCCATGAAAGAGAAAATTGATAAGTGGGGCTTCATTGATGTTGAAAATTTCTCTGGAAAATTTCTCTGGGAGAAAATATTGGCATATTATATCTCAGAAGGAAGTTGTATCCCAAATACTCAAAAGACTCTTAAAATTCAACAATAAATAAACAATGGGCAAAAACATCACCAAAGAAGATATATAGATGGCAGATAGCATATGAAAAGATGCTCAACATCATATGTCATTAGGGAAATGCAAACTAAAATAGGAACTACAGATGCTTTCATTCGTTGCTGGTGGGATGCAAAATGACGCTTTGGAAGGCAGTTTGGCACTTTGTTACCAGACTAAATATAACTCTTACCATATGAGCCAACAATCACACTCCTTGGTATTTCTCCAAATGAGTGGAAAAATTATATCCATACAAAATCTTGCCCTCGAATGTTTATAGTGGCTCTATTTATAATTGTTAAAACTTAAAAGCAATCAAAATGTCCTTCAGTAGGTGTATGGGTAAACTGTGGTACATCCAGACAATCCAGTATTATTCAACAAGAAAACAGCATCAAGCCATGAAAAGACATGGAGGAACCTTAAATGCGTATTGCTCAGTGAAATAAGCCAGCCTGAAAGACTATATACTCTGTGATTCCGACTGTATAATATCTGGAAGAGACAAAACTATATACACACAGCAGAAAGATGAATGATTGCCAGGCATTTGGGGTGGGAGAAAAGAGAAATGAATAGGTGTAACAGAGGATTTTAGAGCAGTGAAGCTATCCTATCCTGTAATGGTAGATAAATGATGTTATATGTGTGTCAAAACTAATATGCTAAACCCCACACAACACAGAGTAAACCCTAATGTAAACCATGGGCTTTAATAATGTATCAGTTTTCATTCATCAGTCTAACCAATGCACCACACTAATGCTGGCTACTAATAAAAGGGGAAACGGAGGGAGAGAGTATATGGGGATTCCTTTTATTTGTTGCTCATTTTTTCCGTAAACCTAAAGCTGCTCTAAGATATAAAGTGGGTTTTTTTTAAAGTTTTTAAATTTATTCTGAGAGAGAAAGAATCCCAAGCAGATTCCATGCTGTCAGCACAGAGCCCAATGCAGGCCTCAAACCCATGAACTGTGAGACCATGACCTAAGTCAAAATTAAGAGTCAGACAGTCACCCAGCCGACTCAGCCACCCAGGCATCCCTAAAGTTTTATTTATTTAATCT